TCTTTATGTATTTTTTTAATTCATTTTCACTTTTTTTCAATTCTTTCCTTTTTGTTTCAATTTTCTTCATTTTGTCCTCTTTTTTTATTTTTCCTTTTTAAAAATATTTTCACTGTTTTAATTTTCTCTGTTCGTTTTTGTTTGCTATTTTTTCTTTAGTTCCTTTTTTAAATCTTTATTTATTATTTATTCCTTTTACCCCCTTTCTCATTTCTTACTTTTTGTCTTTCTTTTGTTATCTTTTTTTGTTTTTCTTTTTTTTCCATTATTTATATGTTTCATTATTTTGTCCTTTATCTTTTATCTTTTTAGTTAATAACTGTGTTATTTTATATTTAATCAATTTAATTAAAAAAATTCAAACCATATATCTTAATTTTTTGTTTGTTTACTTAAGTTTTTTTTGTTTGTTAACATTTTTTGTTAGTTTATTAATCTTTATTGTAAATAATTAAACAAAAAAAGTGAATAAAATAATCCCTAAATAACCATCTTTTTGTTTTCTAAGTTTTTTTCTAATTTTTTTTATATTTTCTTAATAATTAACGTTTTGTTTGCTTAGCCCTAAATAATTAACTTTTTTTCTAAGTTTTTTTTATATTTTATATAAATAACTGTCTTTTTGTTTGCTTTGCTTTTTTTTTATTATATTATTTTGTCATATATTTTTTGTTTGCTTTCAATTTATTGTTGGTTATTTTTATATATTTATTTTTTCATAAAAATGTAGTAAGAAATTATTTGAAATTTAGATTCATTTTTTGGGTTGTTCTCGACGGGTGCAAGGACTAGTGTAAAAAAATGATCTCCTCTGAGAAAGTATTGCAAATATTGAGAAAGTATTGCAAATATTAAGGGGAAATTTTGTTAAAATTATTGTTATACTTTGTTAAATCATTTTTGACTTTTTCACGTCAAAAATTCGAAAGTTCTTGGTGTAATATTCCAATGGGTCGCGACTCATTTTTTTACAAAAATAGTTACCTAACAATTGAATGTGGGGATTTTTACATTTGAATGTATCACAAAAACTATTAAAAAATGGGTAGCAACATTAGAATTTCAAGAAATCAACATTCGAATGTGCATTGGGTACCCAACAGTTTCCCATGCTTTTTTTTTGGAGGAATGGAAAATTTTTCATTGCCAACTATTTGTCTCCACTCTCTCCATTTCTATTGCCATGCATACCACGAAAATTCATTACATATAAACCTCTCTTACTCATTTCCATGTTAATGGAGAGTTTGAAAATCATTTCACAAACACAAAAACCAAAAGCATACACATTTAGGAAAAAGAAATGCTCAAAAATAGTGCTGAAAAGTCCCAACTTAGTTTTTATTCCATAAATGATGAGTTGCTTAGATTTAGTTCTCTTTGCGAAGTATAACATCAAGGGTATCTATGGATATCAACCATTGTTCGAAGCTCTTTGAGGCAGAGGCAACATTTGGTTAATTCTTCTTCAAGAATCTGAGATTGCCAATGATCACATATGAGCATTCTACATGAACCTCGAGCTCAACTTCAACGACGATGAAACTTCTTTCAATTCTCATGTTTGTGCTGTAATTCCTGTAGACATTCACATCACCGATGAAGAATTAGGTGAAATGTTTATCATTAACGGGGAGAGAGAAGAGTTCTCAACTTTCACTTCGTCTCCCGACGGTCAACTTTTTGGTATTAGTGAAAACTCAATGTTATCTTTTCTTGAGTACCACTGATTTTCACTAACTCACTGTCCTGAATATCTATAATTTTGAGAGACCGTTCATTTTTTTCTCTACGTGATAACATATATATATATATATATATATATATTATCAAGGGGTGTTATGCAAACTATATATACTCAACCATCTTGTGAAGATATTCTCTTGATGTATCTCATCCAAAAGAAGAAGAGAATCAACTGGGAAAATTTTATTATGCAACACATGGCGTGGAAAATTGAAAGTCGTATTTTCCCATATCCAATTCTTGTTGCCCAAAATCTTGAAGAATTTCCATATACCATTTGGGTTGAATGATTTGATGCTCAAAAAAAAATTTTGGAAAATCAAACATACATCCTTTATGCACCCCCTTCAGAGGCTACTAGTAGCCAAGCATCATCAATTGACACTCCGATACATCCCCCTCCTTCGTCCACAAGCTTTGTTTCTCTTGATGACGTACGGAGGAGTTACTTTATACAAAGTCCCACATACAAGCTAAGTTTCAAAATTTTGGTTGGACTTTCTCCAACCTTTTATACGTCAAATGGATCTTAGGATCTATTCTATGGAGAAAGCTCTCAACACTCTCACCCTTATACTATGTTTGGTTCAAGGAATTTGAGAGGGAAAAGAAAAGAAAATGAGAAGGAAAATATTTTTCTCGTTTGGTTAGAGAGGAAAAGAAAAGAAAAGTGGAAGAAAAAGAAAAAGAAGAGGCAAAATGTACTAAGAGGAAGGAAAAACAAAATCCTCTCATTTTGGTGAGGAAAATGAGGGAAAACCATTTTCTTTTTTTTTTCCTACCAAATTCCTTGAATCAAACATAGTGTTAATGTCACAAAAATTGCATGGAGTCAATGGATAGATCCTTCATAAGGCACAAGATGGTTCAGTAAACCTCTTCCCTACACCCTTGTGCAACCTCTTCAAGATGACTTTGATGTAGGTCCGTTTCACACTATTCGTCCTCTCATCATGGAAGTTGGTGCTCCACTTACAAATATCTCTCACAACTCTAAGGCACTTGACATGGATGATCCTGAAGAAGATGCTTCTCATATGGAACAATAGTTCCGATTCTTTATTTTATTTTTTATTTTATTTCATGAAAAATTGTTTTTTATGTTTCTCCACCTTTTTGGTAATGCCAAAAGGGGAAGATGTTGATGTTCTTCTTGTTTTGTTTAGTTCATTCTACATCAAATAAAATCATTTTTACCCTATCATTTAAATAGAGGGAATGCTTTCATATATTTAGGAGGAAATTTTATTAATTATTATTAATAATTATTATATTAAAACTACGTTTCCGGTTCTTGACACTTAGTTTTACTCCTGCCTAAAAAACACGCGTTCGTCATTATCAAACATGGAGAAATTATTGTCCCTTGTGTTTTGATCAATGACAAACACAATATTTATGGAGGAAGTCAATGGGTGATAAGTCGTTTTTGGGTTAATTCTTTTTATTGTTTTTTAGGCATTTTTTATATTTTTAGTATTTAATTTTTAGTTGTTTAGCTTAGTTTTATTTTAATTTCTACTTTTAGAGTCTTTTAATTTTCTTTCAGAAATAGTAGTTTTAAAATTTTTTTTATATCTTATTATGATTATTTTATTTTTCCCTAATCCAAATTATCAGATATCTTATTTTGTGGAGAAAAGGCCCAAATTGCACTTCAAGATATTGATTTTGGGCGAAAGCACAAACCCATCAACAAATTAAGATGAGCCCAGCACCTCTTTCTCCTAGTTTCACGCACGGCAAAAGGAAAACAAAAGAACCGGCGACTTCTTCTTCACCGCAGCTAAGACCATCTCCAAATCGACGCTCCAACGTCTCTCCCTGAAATTCGCTCCTCATTTACGCTCCAACGGGAAGAAATTGAAAGTCCAAAGCTCCTCTTTGCTATAAATTGAAGAGAATCAACACACATAGAGGGGGGGAACACACGAGGAACAACAACAAGAGGCGGTGGGCGGCGACATCCAGCTTCAATTATGGTCCCTTCAGCTCCAAATTCTTCAATTTCATCTTCTTCCTCAAATTGGTAACCCTTATTTGTCAATTTTTATTTTTTCCCCATGTAAAAGTTTGTTTTTTATTCAATTTTTACATTTTTTTGCTTGTTGTGTTAGTTTCAAAAATTCTAAAAATGCTTGGTGTTCTTTATGGGTTTTTTTAATGTTTATATTAAATCCCTTATGAATGAGAATTGATTCAAACTAGTTTTTATCAATTATTGAGCAAGTTGTTGTTGAATTGGTTGAATTGTATAATTTGATTTCATAAGTAGGTTGGTATGTGGAATTTGATTTTTGTTGAAGCTATTTTAGCTCCATTAGATAATTAAATTAAATGAACTCCGGATTCATACGTGATTCTTTGTTGTGTTTGTGTTTGTTGATTTTAAGGATTTTGGACTTCTTAGCCCCATAAGTTGATTCATTATTCTTAAAATTCGTTATTGAGTGATTGTTATGTTTTCGTGTGTTCGTTTGTTATTTTCATTAATTTGAAGTTATTTAAGCTCAAAAACAATTCTTGATTTATTAAAAGTATGTTGTGTTCATTTATGTGAATAGAAAAAACGTCATTGGTTTGAGAAGTTCATGGAAATCTGTGAAATGTGCTCTTCATTATGAGAAAAAGTTTATTAAAATGCATAAGGTATTGGCGGTTTGTGAATAGATTATGTATGAGAGTTGAATGCATAATAGATTCTCTCTTTTATAAACTTTTTCTATAGTGGAAGTATGTTTTCATGCTTGAATAGAGAGTTGGGGTTCAAAGTATATTTCAAAATGGGCCTTTGAATTGCATGACTCCAGGCCGTGTGGAGAGTTGACAATCCTCCATGTTGTGGTTAAGGAAATGAATCGACTTGGCCTTTCATTGACTTTTCCTATTTTTAAGTGCGTAAGTTACGTAATATATTGTCTACGTGCCTATTATACGTGTAATGTTCAACTCGTGTTTGTTTTCTTTTTTTATTTTGTTTTGGGTTCTTGGCGGTGTTTCTTGGGTTACCTTAGTTGGCGAAGTTGATTATCTTTTGAGCTTATTTCCCCCATTTTATCAAAAAAACCAAAAAAAAATAAGAAAAAAAATATAAAAACAAAAAAATATTCACTTTTTTACTCAACCCCCCCCCCTTTGTATTGTGTTTAAGTTATATTATAAGTTCTTTGTTTATATAAGTTATATTTATAAGTTTTTATATTTATTTAGTTATAAGTTTTATTATAAGTTTTATACGTCTTATCATATGTGTAGTAGTTAGTTTGTTTTGTTTTGTGACAATGTGTGTGCATGCTTCAATGTTTCAAAAGTACAAACTTTCTCCGTGGGATCGACCTTGCTTGCCCTAGCTATAGCTTTTTATTTGATTATATATTGGGGGTTAGTTAAGGTTATTTATAAATTTTTACCGAGTAATTTGTTTTAGCCCGCACGACGGGTCTTCAACAAATTTTGGTGCTGTTGCCGGGGAGAGTTTTGTATCAAATCAATTTAGTAAGCCTTTGTGTCATGTATTATTTGCTTGTAAGAAAGCATGAGTTGATGGAGTAGCCTCTTTTCTACTGTTTTGCATGATAAATTTTTAGAAATGAGGTTCTTTGCACTTATCAAAACTGAAACCAGCATTTGTGTTTCTATTTGCTTCTGAAAACGAGATTATCATTGATGTTTTTATGAGAATTTTAGGCCTATTTTTAGAAAAATTGCATTGTGAGACTGTTTTCAACATTTTTCCTTGCTGATTTTTGTTTCATATGATTACACATGCTTACTTTGAATGGATTAGGTGCAAATTTTTTTCCCACTAATTCTGATATGTCAATGCTGTTTTTTTTTACAAATTGCACTATTTTACCGGTTTAAGTGTGTTTAGCGATCCTAGAAATGCTAATATACATGCAAATTGAACTCTTGTGCAACAATCTGCATTTTGAACTCTTTTTGGTATGTTTGTTGCTGATTTTTGTTACAAAACCGAGGTTTGAATGGATTTGTTGTAGTTTTTTCAAAGAAATATGATATATTCTTGCTGATTCTTTGTAAAATTTGCATTGTTTGGTTGATTTGCAAGCTGGATTCATGTTCCTTTAAGTACTTATTTGCTTGATTTTTTTTAATGAATTGAACCTAGAGCTATGTGTATGTAACCAAAAAAAAGTTATCTTGATGAGCTTAATTGTTTCTTTTTACTTCATTTATGCTTCTAACCATCTACTTTGAGAGCTTTTTGCAAGATTTGTTGAGTTTTAGGTGGAAGCATTGGTGTTTGGAGTAAAATTCTGCACAGTTCGGTGCAAAATCTGATTTGAAACGTCCACTCGAAGTGCCCGGGTGTTGGTATGTTATTAAATATCAATTTTCTTAAGCCTTGGGTGTTTACATTTGATCATTTATTTTTGGGCTGAAAATCTAAAAATTCTGCACTTTTAAGGCTAATTTTTGGGTACTAATGGAAAAACTCTGCACTTCTCTATCTGATTTTTGGGCTATAAATTGTAAAATTTTGCACTTTGTAAGTTGTTTTTTTAGTGTAAAATGAAAATTTTGCACTTTTCACAGCTTATATGTGCTAAAATGGAAAAAATCTGAATTTTTGTTCTTCAATGCTAAAAAAACTTGGTCTTAGCCTTCTCTCTGCAAATTTTTAGGTCCAGAGAGCACAATAGGATGGGAGTGATGAATTGATGCCGCGTATACTTTTTTTTAAAATTTGCATTCGACTTCCCGTCCTCTCCCCTTTAGTTTTGTTGCATTACTCCCTTTCCCGTTCTCTCTTGGTTATATCATTATTATTCATTTGCATATCATTTAGATGCATTGAGGACTATGCATAATTTAAGTGTGGAGGGAGGTTCTCATGTTTATTTTGTTGATTTGGGAGTATTTTTTTGGACAATTTTTTTTAAATGTTTTGGATCCAAATATTTTTGTCATTCTTTTGTTGCATATCTTCTTATTTAGAGCATTGGTTTTAGATTTGACCCATTAACCTTATTTTTTTCATTGAGCTTTATTCTGAAAGATGACAAATGTTTCTTTATGACCTTGCCTTGATTCTTATGCCCTTTATTCTAAAAGATGACAAACCTTATTTTTTTCATTGAGCTTTATTCTGAAAGATGACAAATGTTTCTTTATGACCTTGCCTTGATTCTTATGCCCTTTTTCTTCGTTATGAGCTTACCATTTTATATTACTCACATTAATTATTATAAAAATAATAGCTATATTAACTTCACGCTTACACAAAAAAAAGTTACAAATGACAGTTACTTATTCTTGCAAAAATTTTGGAGGTTTCCAATCAGTACTCATAATACTTATTTATACCCAAAATAATTAGTACATTCCATACGAATTGAAAGCATTGTGTTTTAAAAGTAACACTCCTTTTTAAAAAAAATTATATTTCCTTTTGTATAATACCGTGGCATCATTATTATTGATGATTTAGAATTACCTTGATTAGAAAAAACCCGTTCAGTTAATATTAATTACCAATTAGAAATGGTGTCATAGTATCGTTGTTCCTTTTTAAAAATGATTATGTGTTAAAACTGATCGTTTTAAAAAAGGAAATTGGTTTATACCGTGTGATAAAAAAGGAACTGTATTTATTATAGTTTTTAAACCATTTTTTTAGACTAATAATAATAATAATTTTTTAGATTAATAATATCACATTTTAAAAGGCATTGTGTGTAAAACGTAATATTAATTTTAACTTCACAATAATTAACTTACCTTTCCGCCATTTTAACTTACCTTTCTTTAAATACTATAAATATAATAATTATAATAATTATTACTATAATTTCGGCCACTTACCATTTCAACTTTACAATTACCATTTGTAATTGTCACTCTTTGGCGGGAAAACCATATGTTGACTCTATGTTTTTTTAAATAAAGTATGGATATGGATACCACCCTCACCATATCAGTAAACTTGATATGATTACCAAAATTTAGTTAGACACTTAGACATGAACCCCACAGATCAGCCGCCAGTCTTCATTGACCAAATCCAAATCATACATACATGCCCTCTTCAAGTTCCCAATCTGCTCTTTAATCTGCTCCCATTCAAAAAAGAAAACGAGTGGACCCTTTGCTTTTGCTTTTCACTTTTTCTTTTTCTTTTTCTTGAACTGGTCTAAAGTAAGCGGTCTTCCCCCAGGCTCCTTAGTTTTCTTTCGAACATAAAATAGAATAAAAAGCAAACATGGCTCAACCAATGCCTCACTCCCTCAGCTTTACAAGACTAAAGCAGAACCAAAGTGAGAAAAAAAATGGACACTATTATTTGAAGATGTGCACTTTACTACTTCAAAAGTGTTTTCAAAATCTCAAAAGAAAAAAAATTGAATACTCAAGAGTTATTTTAGCTTCAAATAAATTATTGAATACTCAAGAGCCATCTCGTTGGAATCCTAATTGCTTCTTTTATGGTGCATATACTATTTTGCTTTTGCTTTATTTAATTTTTATCTTTTGATAAAGTTAAAGATGATGAATTGAAAGGGCTCCTTTAGCTTTCTAGTGCTATTATTACTATTCTTGCAATGAGATGGATGATCTCAGTTTTTGGAACTCCCCATATGTCTGCACCAAGTATGCACTTCTTCTTGCATTGCCTCTTCCTTGTTTTCCTCAATTCATCTCACCACACTCACTCTATCTCTGTGAGAAAACAAGCAGCTCTTCTTGTTTCTTTAAAACAGAGTTTTTTTCAGTCCCAAGATCACACTCTTTCTGCCTGGAACCTCTCCAATTTCAAGCGTCTATGCAACGGCTGGACCGGCGTGACTTGTGACAAGAACAAATCAGTGGTTTCCCTTGATATTTCCAGCTTAAACCTCTCGGGTCGTCTTTCTCCTTCTATATCTCAGCTTCATAATCTGAAGTTCCTGAACATATCAGACAATCTCTTCAGTGGATGCCTAGATTGGGATTTTTCAGCACTCCCAAAACTCCAAGTTCTGGCTGCTTATGACAACAACTTTACCTGCCCTCTCCCTGTTGGCATTGCCCAGCTCAAGAGCCTGAAGTATTTGGATTTGGGTGGGAATTATTTTTCTGGGAAAATCCCTCCAAGTTATGGAAGCCTAGAGCGCCTAGGCTTTCTCTCCCTGGCTGGGAATGACTTAAGGGGTGTCATCCCTGGGGAGCTTGGGAATCTTTATAACCTCAAGTGGCTCCATCTTGGCTATTTCAATGAGTTTGATGGAGGGATTCCAAAAGAGTTTGGAAATCTCATCAATTTGCTTCACTTGGACCTTTCTAGCTGTGGCTTGAAGGGTCCAATTCCGGCGGAGCTTGGGAACCTCAAGAACTTGACCACTCTCTTCTTGCAAACCAACCAATTGAATGGCTCAATTCCTCCACAGTTGGGGAACCTGGCTGGCTTGAAGTCGCTAGACATCTCGAACAACGACCTAACTGGGGAGATCCCGACCGAATTCTCTTCTCTCCAAGAACTCACCATCTTGAACCTTTTCATCAACAATCTCCATGGCCAAATCCCAGAGCCCATTGCGGAGCTGCCCAACTTGCAATCCTTGAATCTGTGGCGGAACAATTTCACTGGCTTCATCCCCGCGAAGCTCGGGCAGAACGGTCAGCTCGTGGAACTCGACCTCTCCACCAACAAACTCACAGGAGAAATCCCAAAGTCTCTCTGCTACGGGAAGAAATTGAAAATCCTGATTCTGCTGAGTAACTTTCTGTTTGGGCCTTTGCCCGATGATCTCGGGCAGTGTCGGACACTGTCCCGGGTAAGAATGGGTCAGAACTACCTCACCGGGCAGATACCGGATACATTCCTGTACTTACCCGAGCTCACACTGGTTGAACTGCAGGACAATCACTTCACAGGGAGAATCGCATTCGAGAAAATAAAACCATCTCCCAAGCTGGAAGGCCTGAATCTCTCAAATAATGACTTCTCTGGTGATCTCCCGCCCAGCATTGGCAACTTCTCCGGCTTGAAGAATCTCCTGCTTAGTGGGAACAGAATCTCAGGTGGCATTCCTTCAGAAATCGGTAACCTCAGGGGAATCTTGAAGTTGGATTTGAGCAGAAACAGATTCTCCGGCAGCATTCCGCCGGAGCTCAGCAATTGTCCATCACTGACTTACCTGGATTTAAGCAAGAATCTCCTCTCCGGTTCGATCCCGGCTCAAATCTCTCGAATCCCAATCCTGAACTTCCTCAACGTTTCTTGGAACCACTTGGAAGATTTCCTCCCAGAAGAGATTGGGTCCATGAAGAGCCTAACTTGTGCAGATTTCTCTCACAATAACTTCACCGGTTCAGTCCCTGAAACAGGGCAGTACTTGCTCTTCAACTCCACTTCTTTCGCCGGCAACCCTCACCTCTGTCTAACTCTCTGCAACTCTTCTTCCTCTGCGTCGCACTCCTACATCAAAACCCAAAGCCATAAATCAGACTTCCCGGCAAAATACAAGCTGATATTCGCGGTCGGGCTTCTCCTAGGCTCCCTGGTTTTCGCCGCAGTGGCAGTGATCAAGACAAGGGAAGCGAGAGAAAATCATCCCAAGTCATGGCAGCTAACGGCATTCCAGAAACTGGAATTCGGAAGCGAAGAAGTCTTGGGATGCTTGAAGGAAACCAATATAATTGGGCAAGGAGGAGCAGGGGTGGTGTACAGAGGAACAATGGGGAATGGGGAGAACGTGGCAGTGAAAAAACTGGGAACCAGCAAAGGGTCGCACGACAATGGCCAGGCCGCTGAGATTCAAACGTTGGGGAGGATAAGACACAGGTACATTGTCAGGCTGCTGGCGTTTTGTTCCAACGAGGAAACAAACTTGCTGGTTTATGAGTATATGCCTAATGGGAGCTTGGGAGACGCCATCCATGGAGAGAGTGGAGGGATTCTGAAATGGGAAACCAGGCTGAAAATTGCCATAGAATCTGCAAAGGGACTTGCTTACTTGCACCATGATTGCTCCCCTCTTATAATCCACCGCGACGTCAAGTCCAACAACATCCTGCTTGACTCTGACTATGAAGCACACATTGCCGATTTCGGCCTCGCCAAGTTCTTGCACAACAACGGTGCCTCCGAGTGCATGTCTGCAATTGCGGGCTCTTATGGCTACATTGCTCCAGGTACTCCATAATTTTATTACATAGGCCAAAAACAAAAATTGTGTATTTCTAGTCGAGAAGACGGGAACATTAATTCGTTCACTTTAACCAAGTTTGACATTGGAATGCAGAGTACGCATACACGTTAAGGGTGGACGAGAAGAGCGACGTGTACAGCTTCGGGGTGGTGCTGCTGGAGCTAATAACGGGGCGAAAACCGATCGGGGATTTTGGGGAGGAAGGGATGGACATTGTCCAGTGGGTGAAGAGGGAGACAGACAGGAGCAAAGAAGGGGTGGTGAAGATCATAGATGAGAGGCTGAAGAATGTCCCATTGGAAGAGGCAATGCAAGTGTTGTTTGTAGCAATGCTGTGTGTGGAAGAGCACAGCGTGGAGCGTCCCACCATGAGGGAGGTTGTCCAAATGCTTGCCCAAGCAAAACAGCCAATCAAGCCGTTCTTCTAGCCTGATTTTTAATATATAAATGTGCCAATGTTCTCTCTCCCTCTCTTAGCTCTGGGTCAGTTTTCTAGTCGTCGCCTTGTCGTTTTCTATATAATCAACAACCAATGCTCCTATATTTTGCTTTTAGAACTTAGTAACTTGGAGTATTTGTTAATATTATAAGTATGATATAAAAAATATCATTGCTCTACCTAATTTGTATTCTCAATAATTTACTAGCTGTGGTTTGATTTTTTTTAATTAAAATCTTCACCCAGTTTATTTGACATTACTAGGCAATGTCATAACATGACTCTCCTAAAATCTTTATCATTTAAAGAACATTAATATCAACACATGACATTTTTTGGGGGTGTCACTTTCCTAAATTTTTTGTTTAAATTTTAGTGTGTGATTCTTCTGTTCTATCGTTTTTTTGCATGAAATTTCTTATTACAATCTCTATGTTTTTTTATTATGTGTGATTAGAACATTTTATTATAGTTTCGGCTAACATTGAATACTGGACTCTGCAACAGAAAATTGATGAATATGGATCTTTTGATTGATCTGCGCGGATATTAAAAAAATGGTCCTTTGTTTATGAATAAAGACATGTGTTTTTCCCCCATGCTTTTGTTTCATATCAGTCTTTTTCCTTTTTTTTCATTCAAATAGTTTGAAGTCATTCTAGTGATTCAATTAAATACGTGCTCCATTCCAAAATTATAATCACAATTATTCTGTTCTCTCGATAAATTTTGTTTGTTTGCATGTTTTTGTTAATAATTTCATAAAATAGAATATTCTTATTACCTACTCCCTCTGTCCCTGAGTGTTTGTCCACTTTCATTTTTGCACACCATCTTAATCCATTTATTTTATCTTGTAATTTGTAATTTAAAAAATTAAAAAAATTATATATTAATAATCTATATGTTAAGATGAATCAAACAAGATCACACATGACTATTTTTAGGCTTACACATTGAGAGAATTTGATGAGTCAAAGTGCTTAGATGAATAGTTCCAAAAGTCAAAAGTGGACAAACACTCAGGGACGGACCAAGTATTATTTTGACGAATTTTTTAATGCAGTTTATAAATATATAATTTCTACTTTTGATTTCAATAGTAACTTGTAAAAAAAATTTAAAAGAAATTGAGATTTTACACGTTTCTCAAATTAACACAATAATTTTGAGAGGGAGTACCAATTTTCTCTAAGGCCTCGGTCATTTTTTTAGTCATCACCTTTGGTTTTCCATATAGTCGACAACCAATGCTCCTATATTTTGCCCTTAGCCGATAAAAAACATATTTGGTATTTTGATGTTTGAGACTTGTTTTGCAAGATTTGAAACATGACACTAATAATTCTAAAAACTAGGGTCGAGTTTTCTTTCATTTGTAACTAGAAATCATGTCTACTGCTAGATTTGGATTTTTTGGTTTTTACCCGAACCAGACTGGAAGAGTGGAAAAATCAGGTCCAGACTAGTATGGACCAGAACTCATCAACAGGTCCGGTTTTTGATCCTATACTTTCGGTTATTCTAGTATTCTTGTTTTTCTTGTTTCGGTGGACCGGTGTACACCCCCTAATGACAGTTTCAGTCATGACAAATGTGTTGAAACTCGGGGAGTTTCAACAAAGTCTTTATGATAATTAAGAAGGTTGGTAGCAACTAGAGGTGGAACATTTAGTTCTGTTAACATGTTACAAAAGGACATGCACACAGTTGAAGTACAGGTGAATATTGTTTCGTGGATTCAAGTGGAAGATTGTTGAGTGTTAAGCGAGAAAATCAGCTGGAAGCCGACAGAAAATTACCTACCCGGAAGCCAACAAGCCATACTAAGTAATTTTAGGTAAAATCATTGTCCCCTATATCAATTTTTTTAAGAGATTAATTATAGTTGAAATTAGGGTGCAACAACAAGAAATAACACCTATTAGTTGCTTGTGCACAGTAGGTTACAGTTGGTGGCCGAACCATACGCTGTTAAATCTTGTATCGTTTATTTTCTGCAATAGGTTCGTGATTGTGTGTTTTTTTTCGCGTGCATTTATCCCATAAGTTTTAAAATGGAGAGTACTGAAAATGAAAAAATATGCTATTTTTCAACACAAAGCAACAAGGTATATTTATATACTGTAACATTTTTATTATACATAAAAAGGCACGAGTAAATAATCACGAATAAATGTAAGGAATACATGGCATCATAATTCACAACACAATATAACTTGAGTTTCGTCTCACGCTGCACAAATTGAATATCTAATTTTTTTACCCACAAAAGCACCTAAACGAGGAGCAAAGTGTTGGAAAACTACTATATACCCAATATGTGTGTGTATATTTATAATACTCCCTCCGTCCCGCAAAAAAAGTTCTCATTTTGAACAGTATTTAGTCAAATATTTACACGCTTTGACTACAAATTGTGAGAAAGATATATTGAATTATAAAATAAATTTAATATAATTGGATTCATCTTAGGATCTAATTTTGATATCACAAATTTTTTTAGCATTTCTTTATTTAGATTATATTTAATTTATGGTCAAAGCGTATAACTGTTTGACCAAAAATACATCCAAATGAGAACTTTTTTGTGGGACGGAGGGAGTAGTTTCCATCCAAATTAAAGATCATGCTTTTGTTGGTTCATCAACCGTTGCTTGTTTCTCTTCCACCTTTGGCGGTTCAGCTGCGGCGGCGGTGGCTGGTTCACTCGCCGGAGCAGCCTCAACCACCGGTGGAGAGGCCGCCGCTTTTGAGTCTTCTTCAACCACTACCTCTCCTGCTTTTGCGTCGCCGGAATCTGCTTTTGCCTCTGTTGGCAGTCCATCATTTTCTTTCTTCTTCTCCTCCGGGATGAGCACAGCAACTTTCTCGAATATAAATATCACCGGACCGGACACGTAAGCCGGCCCTAACTTTGAACTTGCTTCGCTGACCGGCTTTGATCCGGGAAAGTCTTCACCATGTTATTATTATCCATAAAAATTAGCACTGGTTAGAAAATGGATACTCCATTTCTCTCCAAATAAACTTTAATTTTCTTATTTAAATAGTCAAATTATACGAAGTATTTTAAATCTTCATTATTAATTCATTTACTCATTTATTAACGGTCTTATTTTACACGAATAAGATTTTGGACATAGTTATTGGGGCCAAATTGCACCCCTACCTCAATGATTTAGAAAATAGCACTAGTATCTTCCATATTTTCAAAACTTATTTAAGAAGTTCTTGTGATTTTAAAAGAATCCACCCATAGCCCCTCTCAATATTTTCCGGCCATTTTTCCGGTGAAGAAGGGTACGTTGGTGTCTATGTTTCCAAATCATAGGAGGCACTAGTACTTATTTCTAATGTTTCTTTTATTTTTTTTGTTTCACCCCTTTTTCCTTTATTTGTTTCTTTTATTAATCAAGATTTTTTAAATATCTTTTCAAAATTTTTTTATAATGTTCTTAAAATTTAAAATTAGTTTTGTTTGAAAAAAAATACTCCCTCTGTCTGGATATGTTGTTCTCATTTGATTTTTCATGGTCTCGAAATTTACACATTGACCATTAATATCTATATTTATACATAGATAGATTTTATAGATATTTGATATATGAAAAAAATGTTTCAATAAGAATATATATTGATATTAAATTTATAGAAGTGTCTTCAATAAATAATACTAGAAGAAAATAAAATGGGAATAGTTGGAAAATTAGAAGAAAATGTAAGAAACTGGAAAAACTAGAAGAAACTGAAAGAAACGTGAAGAAACGAGCCGGACGAAACTGGAATTGAAAAACTAAAAGATTTTAGAAAAACTGAAAGAAATTGGTAGTTAAGAGTTTAAACTTTAAGGAATAGGTTCTAAAAATGATGTGATAGTAGGCTAATGATTTATAAGCTAAAGGAAAGATTTTATTTGAAAGTAGTCTTTTTGTGGAACATGAAAAAAGAGAGTTAAAATATTTTTTTGGGACAAAAGTATTATATGTATTGAAAATATTTACTTTTTGTATATATTAGGTTTCAATTTTAACTAATAAAAGATTTTAAATTCTATTCCCTATGTTTTTGAAAATAGTTCTTTTTTCATTTTTTTCACTAAAACATTTTCACTTTTACAGAAAAAAAGACTAATAAATCCAAATAAAGTTGTTACAATATATTTCATTCATTTTGCATTGATTAATAAGTTATTTAAATGATTTATCTCTCTTTCTTTTCAACATTAATAATATAATTCAAAAATTAAATTACGAAACTAAATATGATAAAAATCAAAATAGAAACTATTTTTGCAAATGGAACTGGCAATAATTCTTCTAAAAGCCCATATAGCTTTTATAGCCCATGCCTTAAAAAAAATCTTTAGGACGGGCCTGAATACATAGAATAACATCAATCAATTACGTAACATTGAAAAAGACTTGACGTAATAGTGAAAAAGACTTGCATGTAATCTTTAGAGCAAAATAAAATTCATAAGTTCAAAGTTCCCGTTTTCAATATAAGTATTAGGGTCCGTATGGTACATGGATATGATAGAATTCGAATTAAATTGGAATTAAAATTTTATGGATTCATTTCCATAGAATTGAATTCACCAATTTAGATTTATTTTTTGCACTACCAATTTGGCAATTTCAATTCCACATAATTTTCGTGCTACCAAATATGAGAATTGGAATTGAAGCCCTCAATTCCAATTCCATAGTTTGAATTCCGTGTACCAAACGGGGCGTTAGTGTATTAAGGAATATTACAACAAGGGCGAACTCTTACTTGGTGAACACTCATTTTATGGACTTCAACATATAAATGTCATGAAAGATTTGAGTCTCTACAAAAAAATTTAAAAAAAAAATCTACTTGACAGCCCGTAGAAAATGTGAAAAGATCTACATTTTATATGTGGGCTTGTAGATCATGGAAGCACAGTTCTTTTATGAGTATTTAATTTATTAATTTTAGAAATTAGAAGATCTACTTTCGTTCCAAGTTGATGGTCTTTTTTATTTTATGTTAGAGTGTCATCCCACATCAGAAGTTCAAGAGCAAAATAATCAGTGTATAAGCTCTTGAGTTAACCTAACAAATCGATTGGATTCAATTTTTTCTTTTTCAGTCGTTCTAAATTTGTTAATCCTACCTTCTTACTCACATAATCCTTCCGTTTCAATAAACATCTCATATTCTGACTTTTAGCTAAAATAAGACATATATTTATCCTTGACTTTTTTAATTTTTGTTTTTGATGTGACAGGTAAAACTGAGATGTAATGTGTATATTATTAATGAAAAATTATGATGTTGATAGGTAGGTAAGAAAAATCATGGGTAAAAAGTAAGTTTTATTAGAAAATGGTGAGGATTATATTAAAAGAAGTGACATGCATGATCCACCACCTACACAAAAAATATTTTATCTCATAAGAGAAAGAGAAATAGATGAAACACATGCGTACCGATGTTGACCAGCTCATCCAGGAATTTCTGAACAGCTGCTGAGTTCTTCTTGAGCCCAGCTATGTTCTTTGTTGGTTCTTTTATCAATATCTGTTTATTTTATTTTATTTTTTTTATAATATCCAATTCAAGAGCGCAGCTGATGAGGACTCTGTGTGATCATATACATATATATGTGTGTGTGTGGGTGTCCATCCAAGAGGCTTTAATTTGATGATAATATACCTTTAGGCTCCAGTTCGTAAATTAAATACGGAGTATACCTTTATCTGAGCGGAAGAAGCTTCAAAGATTTCAATAACTTTAGGTTCCAGTTCCGTCCTTTTCTCCTCCAACTCTTTCGCATACTGTTCCTGTTTCGTTATTACATATCATGAAGACAAGCCACACAAATCAATTAATTTGGAAAATTATATTACCCCCTTTGTTTTTTTAAAACCAATCCTATTTTGTTTTTAGGCCAAAATAGGAGGGGGAAAAATGAAAGAATAAATGTTTTAAAAATGGTGGGAATATAAATAACTTTTCCTAGACCACAACCACAAGCTAGAGTTTTTGATTGAATTGATTCGTTGATATGGTATCAGAGTCTTGTTGACTAATGAGGCCACAAGTTTGACACTCAGTGGTACCCAGTTTTTAAAAAAATTTAAGGTTTCACGTGCAAGGCTCGAAAAAAACTACGTTTGCACGTGAGGGAGTGTATTAGAGTATAAACAACCATTTAACCACCGGCTTGATTTTTGATTAAGTTGGTTCCTTGACAGGTTTAATCAAAAACCAAATTGACGAAAAGAGTGAACATGGGATATATATATATATATATATACCTTAGAGTCATCGAAGGCAGAAGAGGCCTCAGCAGCAGCAGCAGCCTTCTTCACAGCGCCGCCTTTAGTATCAAAGACCTTCTTGATCTTGGGAAGAACCTTAGACTTCCAGTAGTTCATCTTCAATTCAAATTGAATTTCAACAACGTAGCTAATTAATAGCTAACAAACTCGGATATGATATGATCCCGGCCGCCCTGTGGTAGGGTGGTCAAACAAACAAACATATATACCCGGCCTAGCCTCGCTTTTAATTTGTACGCTCGTTTTTTGGCGTGCTGGGGTCGATCGTTATACTTATAATTAGCACGCAGGCTGGCAGCTGGCTATAGGCTGTTGGTTTTTGTGTTTGTCGATCATGTGCGCATGGGGGCCGCAATCCGAGCTGCTTGCTAGTAGTGTATGTATATATGCATACTCACCCAAATCATACAAACTTAAAATTGACAGTCATATATATTATGCCAACTGTCAACACCCCCACTTGCATTGTTTTCGCAACTCCTATGTCCACCAAAACAATTTCAATTTTGACTTTTATATACTCCTATTCACCATACATCTTCACTATTTACAGGATCAAACTTATTCGCTTTGTTTGCTCATTTTACTAGTCATTTCGAAAAATAATATAGTCTTGTCATTTCTAGTTTTGTAGAATCTTTCATGTAGTTTATTACTATATAAATTTTATTTTAAAATTTTACTCCTATAATCAATTAAATTGAATTGAAAATGAAGTCGGTCAAGCCTCTTAACACGTAATGGGAAGATCTTAGGTGGAACGAAGGGAGTAATTCATTTATGTAATTTTTTGATTAAATCATTAACTTCAAAAAGAAAAAAAACAAATTACTTAAATAACTTGTTATATCAATATGCAAAATGGATAGAGCATGTTGTAGTGTCTTTATTTGGATATATTAGTCATTTTAATAAAAAAAGAAGTGTTTTGGTGAAAACGAAATAAAGAGGAATGGTTTTAGTGAAGGGAGAGAGTACATATGAAGAAAAATATGTGTAATGACACATTTGAAAAAATTTGAACATTAAGAATCGACAATCACTTGGAAGACAGATATTTAACGGGGTTTACTAAAAATCTGTTGGTAACCTCTATGGACTGAAAGGAAATACTTTATTGACCAGATTATAGATTCTAATCCCAATCCTACAAAAATACATATATAGAGATGGGGATATGAAAGATTATTCTAATCTTAACCCTAGTCCTAATCGTGATAGCTCTAGAAAATAGATTTAAGGTATTTTGTAACAAATATCCACTTTGACTTGGAATCCTCTAATAATACAACTGATGCACCGAAATTAGATGCGCAGAGATACTAGATTTCCTCCAGAAGTCACTAGATGTACCGTAGGTATCAAAAGTTCAACCAAGGACACAGATGTAACCAAAATAGGAACAGAAACAAATTATTTTACTTGAGTTCAGAATAGATTCCCCTCATGCTTGCAACCGATAACTCAAGCTGAAAGACCAATGGAATCAAACTATACCTAGAGTTGACTCTTCATAGAATGAACAAAACAAATAAAGCTAACCTAGACCTGAAGCCAAATCGCACCCTCTCGGGGCGCTGATCACGTCACTAGGCGCAGAAACAGATACTTCTTCTAGGTGATCAATAGTCTCAATCTCCGCAGATGGAACCTCTTCGTTTACATCAAGACTTTCATTACCTCTATGAATCTCAAATGGTGCAACGACAATGGAATCGGCCAAATTAGAACCCTGTAAAAGATATAAGGTACCCCTTTTAATACATTTCAGGACCACCTTCGAATCCTTCTAGACACTTATAACTTCACCTTTACTATACCTTGGAAATTGAAACCCTTACGGTCAAGATGAGCCAAAGATATGAGATTCTTTGTCAAAAAAGGATTATGCCTAACTTCACTCGAGGTGCAAAGTGTACCATTATGAGTCTTCAACCTGATGGAGCCTATTCCAACAACCCTGCATATAACACCCCAACCTGTAAAACCTGAACAATGATTTAACGAATTGAGTTGTCACCAAATTGGTATCCATAATCCAAATAATTTAAAACACTTAAAATTTTTTGAGTAAAAGTTCAATCTTTCAACAATTCAATGTCTAAGCGAAGTAGTAAATTGAAATAGTGTGGAAGCCTTTAAAACAACATTCCAAGACATTCTTGTAGTTTTAGTAAATAGGTATAAAAAATTAGATTAATTAAATTAATACTCGCAAGCCATCCATGTCGCGAAGCATCACTGACTACCATGCTGCTCATCCACTCATTTGTTTTTACCTACGTGCAATCAAAGACAACAAAGACTACACGCTCAGCTAAAAGTTGATGAGTGAGAATATATATTAACGCTAGAATTAATTCATAGAGTAGCACCACATTCACATGCATCCTTATAGTATCATACAAACAAGTAATATCATCATTCCATGTCATGATTAATAGCAATATCACTTACCATTAATCTTCTTAACCTATGATGCCAAAAGCTAAATCAATCCACTAGAGTCATGGACACTTAAGAGGTTTCCAGAGGCAAAGCTCAAACCCAATGGAGGTCTCCAGAGGCAAAGCTCAAACCCAATGGAGGTCTCCAAACGGCGGGTTGAAGCCCCTTCTAAGGGGGTTCCAAGGTAGGTCGCAGATTTCTATACATATTTTTTAACCATAGGTCATTGAGTATGCACTCATGCCTCACATGGCCAGATTCCTAACAAGTCCTATTGGTGATTCAACACTCAATTAAGTCCAAATTCGCCTAGCAATACTAGGTGTTTTATTCCTCAATTCTCAACTCATAATTCATAATATATCACAAATAAGCTCCATTCAACTTTTGTCACGATTCAAGAAAATAATCATATCAAATAGCGGCCTATTAGGGACCCAATAGCCATGCATAATCAACGTAATATAACGAAATTACAATTGATCTAAATTACCTGTCAAGTGATGATAATACAAATTTGATATTGAAGTACCAACCCCGGACTTATTATCCTCGCCGGGGCAGCCCAGCCCCCTTATCGGAACCCCCTGGAAATGCTAGACCACCTCGATCCATTACCTAGCCGCCTGTTGCCACTGTTGGACATCAACATCATGAACATAATAACACAAAGAAGCAAAAGAGAACAACAAGAAATGAGCACGAAATAAGACCCTAGACATGCTTCAACCAGATTCCAACAATCTATCAAACAATTCACATTCAATTGCAAGAAAATACGTCAATGAAGTTCTAATCTACAAATTAATCTTAACCATAGACGTATGAACCACGACTCACCTGCATTAATAGACGAATACACCCTATGAATCAAGCAAGACGAAGATGTCAATTAGCACCACAAAATCCTCCTCGCTAGTCGTTGCTCCTGGTCACCATCCATCCTCTCTGCTTTGTCTGCGTGTGAAAGAAAAGAAGAAGGGCGATGACAACGGTGGACGAAGGCGAGTAGTAGAGAGGAAAATTGATGAAGGAGTTATGGGAAAAGAAAATGAAGCGTGTGTGAGTTAATACATATAAATAGATTTAGGGTCACTTCCAGTTATAATTTAATTAGAATTGGTAGAAAGCCTAATTACTGGGTTCGTTAGTCGTACCTCGGGCCCAATAACTCTAATTTCTGAGTTGTTCACATTATCGAGTTCAGGTAAGTGAGCTTTACAAAATAGAATAATTTCCTCAATTAAAAATCTAATTTTCAAATAAATCTATACAAGACCAACCTAGTAATTAATTAATTATTTAAATTAAATTATAATACTAAGCTAGGCTTTGGGGCATTACATTTCTCCCCACTTAAAATAATTTTTTCCTTAAAATTACCTAAATTATTGTCATCGAAAAGATGAGGATACTAAACTCTCTTTGACTCTTAGGTCTCCCAGGTAGCTTCTTCAACCACATGTGTTATAACTTTGTCAAGGTGTAAAACAAATTTAGTACCTAAGTACCACCAATAGTACACTTAATATAAAGGTAATTTAGTGGCAAGTAGGGTCGAATCCACATGAAGACTGATTATTAAATGTTCCTAGCTTGATGGACAGTACTAATAAAAAACACAAAACACTTGCGAGAAGGGTGTTTGGTTTGGTTTTCAAAATCAAATAAACAAACTACAAGAAACTAAAACAAGGGAAGTGTAAACCGAAATCAAAGAGGGTTTAACAAGCAAGGCAAAACAGTAAATACAACACTTAAGTTGTAATGCCCTAGAAACCAGTCTAGAAGTTAATCTCTAATTAAATAAATTAGAATTATTTATTTATGACAATTTTTTGAGGTAAAAGACACATTCATTCATCAAATTAAATGAGAAACAAAGTCAGGGGAGAATTTCACCACTCATTAGTCCTCTCCCCCGCCTCTCTAGCAAGAGAATGAACAATACAGTTCGAGGTTCTAGGAATGTAAAAAAACCTCAAAGAAATAAAAGAGCTAGCCAAAGATCTACATTCATCCTCTACGGAACCCAAATACGAGGTGTTTCTACTTGATGGAATATTGAGTGCTTTAATAAACAGACAGACAGAACACTAACCTCCGAGAAGCCATGCTCTTTAATCCAAGACAAAGCCTCTTTAATTGCCATGGTTTCCGCAATTCGTGGCTCTAAAGGACAGTTAATGAAAGAGTTGAAAGCTCTAATAAAAGAGTTATCTTCACCTTGAATGATTGCACCGACTCCCACCTGCCGAACATTGTCGAACTCAACTCCATCCACCGAGCACGTAATGCCGCTGATTCTAGACTCTGCCACAGGTGCCTTCGACCCCGAACAGTGTGATGGCGTTGAGGCCAAAGCCTCTCTGGTCCAGGCCTCGATGATACCCACGGTCGGCAGCTTACTCTCCAAATTGGCCATGTTCCTCGCCTTCCACAGTCCCAGATCCCCGCCGCCACGCAGTCCATTTCCCTTCAGCCCCTGCTGCAAAGTTAAAAACTGCCCAGTGCAGTAGCGAATCAAAACAATGGCCATGGTTATTGACAACCTTGACTCCCAGCACCTGCCACAGTCTCTGCGCGACCGGGCAGGCCACAAAGACATGAGTAACACTCTCCTCAGCAGAATCACAGCTACGACACAGAGGATCTAACTGTATTCCTTTACTCTCTAGTGAACATGCAACCGGAAAAATATCCCGAAGGGCTCTCCAAAAACAAGCTTTGACTTTAGGAGCCACATTCAGCTTCCACAACTTGCTCCAATGGTTAAAATTGGATGTGTTTGGTGCCTCCCTAGTAAGCTTCCTATACACACTTTTAACAGTGTAATCCCCAGACGAATCCAACGCCCAGTACCATTCGTCTGTAATCGCTGACGATATCAGGACCTGAAGAATTTGGGCTCTATCATCTTCAGAAAACCAGTGCTGCAACATATCCAATTTCCAAGTGTTAGTGGAGTGATCAATGAGAAACGAGACTAATCAGGGCAAAAATCTGGTCGGGGAGTAGAAATAGACGGGCTCGATTTGTCCCATAACCATGCGTGACTCCAAACAAGGGTACAATCCCCGTTCCCAATTCTTTTTCTACCTGCATCTTTAATAAACGTTGGGCATCCAAAATACTCCTCCAAACAAAGCTTGGGTTAGGTCCAATCTTCGCCTCCAAAAAAGACGTCTTCGGAAAGTATCTTGCCCTGAAAATCTTAGCTGTTCATGACCCCGGATTTGTTAAAAATCTCCACCCTTGCTTGCCCAACATGGCAATATTAAAGTCATGGATATCCTTAAAACCAAGCCCCCCAAACTTTTTTGGACTTGTCAAACGCCTCCACGACAACCAATGAATATTAGAGGAACCATTGCCACTATTTTGCCACCAAAACTAGCTAGTTCATAATTCTTTCAATCATCTGGCAGACCCCAATGGGCAGGAGGAACACACTCATAGCATATTGTGGCATTGCTTGGGCCACTGTTTTTAGTAAGATCTCCTTTCCGGATTTTGAGAGCAAACGTTTATTCCATCCACAAGTAAGATGGCGGATCTTGTCCAGAATAAATGAAAAGACCACGTTTTTATTTCTACCAATGCATGAAGGGAGACCTAAATATTTCCCAAAGTCATCTGCTAGAGTAACACCAAAAAAGCGGCTAATTTGCTCTTTAACCTCATGGAAAGTATTAAGGCTAAAGCAGACCGTTGACTTACAGAAGATCACTTGTTGTCCCGAGGCTAACTCATATTCCTCCAAACATTGCTTCACCACGCGGGCCTCCTCAAAAAACAAATGTGAAATAGGGGGGCTCTATTGGCCACCCTAACCCCATGAATCCTCCTCTCGCGTCGGAGAGATAACTTCACTGAGAGCTCCATTGACAAGAACACGATATCTAACCGATTTCACACACATCATTATGAGTTGAATCCAAGCTTTCCTAAAACCCAACGTACGCATCATGGTCTCCAAAACAATCCAAGATACCCTGTCATATGCTTTGGCCATGTCAAGCTTCAGCCCTACCCATTGGCTTTGCCTACTTGTTTCCTTCGAAGATAATGACCAATTTCTGACCAATTTCCGCAGCAAGGAGCCTGTTGTCAGATCTGAGTCTCCCAGGTAACAAAGGTGACTGGTTATCTGAGATCAAACTCTGGAGTACAGGCTTCATTCTGTTCGCCAAGATCTTTTCAATTATCTTATAGATTACGTTGCAAAGAGCTATTTGCCTCAGATCTCCTACATTTTCGGGACAGTGCTTTTTAGGGATCAGAACAAGAGTGTAGCATCTCCAAGGCCTTCTGGGATAACCTTCCTGCAAAGATAATCTAAAATAAAGTTAGATAACTCTAAGCCCACCTCCTTCCAACAGTTTTGAAAGAAAGCTGGGTTGAGCCCATCCGGTCCTGGGGATTTGTCCAGATGCATGGAAAAAGTGCCTCCTCGATCTCCTGCAGAGTAAATGGGCGTTGGAGCTCTACATTTTGATCCTCCCGAACACGTGCATGATCCACCTCTGCACACCACATGTCCATAACGTCGTGCCGTCCCCTCCTATTATTATCTTTGAAAAAATCTGCAAAATAATTATAAACAAAGGGCAACAGCCTTCTCCCTTCACACCAACCTCCCATACCGTCGCGAAGTCGTAATATGCGGTTCTTCCTCTTCCGATGTGAAGCATAATTGTGAAAACATTTCGTGTTCCGATCACCACAGGAGACCCAAAGCTGTTTGGCACGTTGTCTCCAATAGCAATCCTCCCGTTCCAACGTCTCCCTCAAGGTTTTTTCAACTTGCTTTCTTACAACAATTGAAACTGAATCTCTACAGCTGCGCATAGCCTCAAGTTTCCTCTTACAGGAATCAATCTTCTTCCCAAAATTGTTTAATCTGTCACCTCCCCATCGTTTCAGCTCCTGTCCGCAGTGATTGAGGTGGTCAAGAAAAGGCGACCCTTCCCATCTGCTCCAGGCATCCTCAAACGCTTTTTTGAAACCTTCATCTTTGAGCCAGCAATTCTCAAATATGAAGCTTCTGGACCTACCGTCCTCAATGACACCGTTGAATGAAAGGATAAGAGTTGAATGATCCGACCAGGTAGTCATAACATTATACAACGAGAAGCTAGGAAAAAGTGATCTCCACCCATGTGTTGCCACGGCTCTATCAAGACGTTCCTCCACCCAATCTGGGGTATTCTTCCTCCGTTCCCAAGTAAAGGGATAGCTACTCATACCAAGGTCCATCAACTCACAAAAAGATAAGGCTTTGTTAAAAGTTAAAACCATCAATAAAGCAAGGAGGTCTGGAATTACCTCCCTTCTTTTCCATCGCAGCCGATAAACCATCAATAAACCATCAATAAACCAAATCTACCAGTTCTTGCACTGTTCAGCAGTTGCCCAACCCGTGACAGTTCCAACTTAGGATACTCATTGGTCTCGGCAGGCCTGGAGACCAGGACCCGCCGTTGGTAACATATGTGCATTCTCCGGCACTGAAGCATTCACCTCCACGATCATTTCTTGGTTAGCCCTTCTCTTCCGTCTGGCTATTAAACCTTGAAATTCTTCCCCATTTTGTAGGGTAGTGCCACTCGAGGAAACCTGCCCCACTTGGTCCCCCTAGCCTTCCTTGTCACTACGTAACCACCTTGCACCTATCTCAGCAACTTTTTTGCGCCCAGCTCTAATTTCATCTCAGCAACTTGTCTTCTTTACCGATAGCTGTAATCGTTCGGTACCTAGGTACCGGACAGATGGTAGGCCCTACCGCCCTACCGTGACAGTCCGTCCAATTGGTTCGGACGGTACCCTTGTACCGTAGGTCTGGTACCCAAGTACCATAAGGACGGTACCCCGTACCGTAAAGGGTATTGTCTGGTACTTGATTCCGCTCTATTGATATGTGTTTTCGTCAGGGATTGATTCCAAGACTTTGTGTGTTGCATTACAGTAAACATGGGTGGTTACACCCAGTGTTAGGCCGCTATTTGGTTATGTTGAATATCTTGCTAAATGTATTGTGGATTCATGAATGTTTTATTATGTATTGGTTAACGATTGTTGGATACATATCAGGTAGAGGAACTCTAGGAAATGACCTGAATGGATTAGTGGCAAGGTATGCCATAAGTATAGTATGTTAGAGCCATGTGGTACCTGCTGGGTCCAATGGCTATTCGGGTAAAGACTTGCGCACGTGGGATCCATGAACTGTCGTTCCGAAGGTGCTAGGGGTCTCACCCACCCAACGAGGAACTCCTGAGGTCTTTTAGAGCTTGGCCTTCGTTCTGAAGGGGAAGGTCATGATTCTCGTAGAAAAATAATTAAGATAAGCCTTAATCTAGATTAGGTTAAGTGCCCAGTAAGTAGACAGAATCAGAGTTAGTATAAGTCTTAACATAGCATAGGTTATGAGGCTAGTAAAAAGATCAAAGTAGGTGAACAGGTGAACGAAAAGGTAATATTCTATGTTTGTTAATGTTGAACATTGTTATATGTTGTCTGCGATGTTATCTATGATATGCTTGTGTGCATGATATCATGTGATAGTTATGAATTAGTGGATTCGCCTATGTGTATATATGTTCAAACTGTTAGACATTTCTCACTCAGCTTCATTACTGAGCGTGTAGCCTCTTTTTTCTCTTTGTTACACGTAGGTGGTTGTGAAAGGATTGATTTGGTATCCATCCCGGAGAGCAGTGTGACGATGGAGATGTATGGATGCAGAAGCTTAAAATAATATATTTGATTAAATTATAAAGCTTCCGCACTGTTTGTATAAACTCCGATATGTATTTAAATTGTTTTAAATTGTTTGAGTTTTAAATTAAATGTTTTTAATTTACTGGAAAATATTGTATGTTGATACTAATTTAGTAGCAACTCGGTTTGCTAACTTGTTTGTTCAGGTTATGCGTGTTGGGGTGTTACAAAAGTAAAACTGGTTCTTAATGTGGAAAAAAACACCTTGGTTAAGTTGTGAAATCATGTGAATCAAATTGGCGAATCATTAGCAAAAATCATTTTAAACATAAGAGCAACTTTGATTGGTGATTTTCATCACCCACTAGTCCATACATATTAGTTAGGTCAGAGACCAGCCCCAAACACTCACCCTACCCTCTATGACAATCTCTGGACCCGTCTAGATCTTTAACCACATAGGGAGCATTCAACCTTAACTAGTATACCCAAGATTCCACTGCAATCCTACTAGCAGGATCATATAATGGAATAATATTAAAGGCTAGCAAATAGAAACTAATGACTAGTTGATTTCAACTCACTGTTAATTAGTATTTATTCTATTCTTCCTTAACAATGATGTACCATCGGAATAGTAGATTACTAGTAATGGAGAGGTCTAACAAGTTCCTTTAGTCTTAACAAACCAAAGAGTCCCAACCATCTTAAAAATCATGCAATTCTAACACTCAACCCCTAGGTCTAAACAGAATATAACAAAAACTAGCTTCAACGCACAATTACGATTCAGAGATTCACAAACATTACCAAGGTTTAGAACTTTAGTCTCTCATGTCAAAATGAACACGAAAAAGGCAAATGTTTACGCATTCATTGGTCAATTTTGCATCAAACGAGTAATAAATCTCAGGTTGGATTATAACAAGTCAATTAATCGAAGCAATCACAGTAGACAGGCTTAGAAATAACGCTGATCTACGGCAAAGCTCATTTAGATTCGAAATTGCAAATTTGGGCTAACAAACATGCGATTGAACATTTAAAACTCAAAATCTAAAATTGTAAAGCCTAAAAACATTGAATTAGAGATTATACTTACAGAAATTGAGAATATTAAGGTCTAAGGTTGACCATTCAGGAGATGTGATGCAGCTCGGCGTGTAGCATACATTGCCCTCTTTTTTATTTCGTGGTCGGTGCACCTCCACTTGCCAGCAAACACCGGCGATGGGCATTTCTCCGGCCGGAAACCTTTCTCGCCCTTTTCTCTCTTAGCTTAGTATTAGCTACTCCCCAATAAGTTGATAAGAATATTTTAGTTTATGAAATACTTAATGAAATCGGGTAAACAAACAAAAAATATCGAGAGCAAAGAAAAAAAATTGTAATCTATTTAGGGACGGAGGGAGTATTTTTTTTATAAAAATAAATATAATATTTTATTCTCTTTTCTCACATAAAAATATGAACTATTTATAAAGCCATACTTTTCATTTAAAAATTAGGTAGTCGGATAGATCTCGTAAAAAGATGACACCAACAATATATAATTTTTTAAATTTAGACTTTTGTGTAAAAAGTTATAAGAAAAATAAGTTTTACAATTCAGTAAATAAATATAAAGAATTTTATAATATAATAATATAATTTAATATTAATAATAACTACGAAACTATATTCCTAATTCTAATGCAATTAGGCAAAAACCCAAATCCACTCTGCCGAAAGTTCCTTGCCAGAGAAAATCAAATTGTAAACTCGACTTGGATCGAGGTGAGTTCATAGGTTTGTTCAAGCGTAGAAATCATATATAGTGTTAATTCGTATGCATAGCCAATCGTAGATTCGTTTATGTGATTTATCTGATTATGGTTTTTGGATTATGAATTAATTGAATAATGTTTTTGGAATTTATTGATTGATCGAGGATGGCTAGGAATGTTTTCTTACTCCAATTTACGTGGTTTAGTTGTCAATAGTCTCTAATAACATTATACGTATTGAATGGTTTAAAATTGGATTGTATTCTGATGTTTCTGTGTTTTTCCGACGTATGACGGTAGCTAGGTACCGCCTAGCGATGCCTTGCTACCGCCATAAAAGGAAATTCTCTGCCGATACCTGTGCCCGAGCGGTTGGTCGGTACCGATAGATGGTAACAAGGTACCACCTAACGGTACCAGGGTATCGTAACAAGTACCGTGAAAGACCATAACCGACCCCTTTTTCATGTTGTTTGTTCTAAATTAAGTCGCGAATTGACTTCGGGACCTTGTGTGCTACATGACGATAAGTGGAAGGTGTTTACCCCTTATGCTAGGCCACTATCTGAATTACATGATGATATATTTAGTTGTTGTTATCTTTCTTATTATGTTTTAAACATAACTTTGATATGATTGAACAAAACATAATGAGCTGAGATTGTTGTTTGAATATGAAGAGATGTTGTAAATAAATGTTTAAGCTACTTGGTGGAACTCTAGGACTGCTCTAGAGTGAATGTAAGTGTAAGTGTCAATAGGTAAACCAGCCTTTTGAATCTAATATCTGATACGCAATCCACAAACTGGCATTCCAAAGGAGAGAGGGGTACCACCCACCTAGCGGAGAACTCCTTCATTAGTAAAGTCTTGTTGTAATGTGTTGTGTCTTTGTTTATTACTCCCTCCGTCCGGGAATGATAGTCACATTGTACGTTTTTTTTCGTCCGGAAATGATGTTCCCATTCTACTTATTTTTTACCATTCTTTCAAAACTACCCTCTTCCTCCTTTCTTTCTTTCTCTCTTTTTTTCTTCCCATCTCTCCTTCGGATCACCTTTCTCCTTATCTTTCTCTTTTTCCCCTTTCTTCACTTTTTTCATTCTCCTTCTCTCTTTCTCCGATTCGACCTCCATTTCTTCTTCTTTTCTTCTTCTTCTTCTTCTTCTTTCTTCCGATCCCCTGCTCTTTTTCTGATCCAGACAAATCCCCCTCCTCTTCTTCTCAGTATCCTCCGCCTCTTCCTCTTCTTCTCATCCTCCTCCACATCCATCTACACACATACGCCTTTTTCTTCTAGATCTAAACAGATCTGTGACAGAATCGCCCTCCGTCTCTTCCTCTTCTTCTTCCCTTCCTCGCAGGCCTTCTCTTTCTTCCAAATCTGCGATGGAGGGGGATGGCGGCGATGGAGCGACAGGAGGTTGTTGTGGAGGCGTCCGGCACTGTAGATGTTGGTGGAGAAGGTGGGGATGGCCGTGGTTGTGGGGATGGCGGCGAGCGACGAACCGATGGTTGTGGTGGGGGGTTGGCGGCGACCGAGAATTGATAGAGAAGTTGGGGTGGTAAGAGATGCCAGCGATGGTGGCTAGCGGAAATTGGGGTGTTCAGTAGTGAAGGGTAGCGGAAATTGTAGTGGGGGATGGCAGCGAGCGACGGACCGACGGTTGTGGTGGGGGGCTGGCGGCGACCGGAAATTGGTAGAGGTGGGATGGTAAGAGATGCCGGCAATGGTGCTTAGCGGAAATTGGGGTGTTCATTAAGGGTATTTTGGACCATTCCTCCCCATAGTCAACCACTCTTAAAAATGAGGAAAAGTCAAACCGGGACTATCATTCCCGGACGGAGGGAGTACTAAATAGCATTAACCTAGTATAGGTTATGAGCGAGTGTTAGAGATGAACTGAGTAGAGATATGAATGTTGAGTTGATTACTGACGCAACCAAATAAACAAGGTAAGTGACATCATGTCTGAATTGTCATGCTTGTTATTATTATTTGATGTTGTTATGTAAAATTACTTGTGCATGGAATCGTATGAATGATTGAGTATGTTAAAATAACCCTATGTGTGACTTACAATATTAGATACTCTCACTCAACATGAAAGTTGAGCGTGTAACTTGTTTTACATACTACACGTAGGTAACATAAATGACGAATGAGGAACCGATCCTTGAGGCAGCAAGGATAAAGAGATCGATGGATGCTGGCTGAAGAGTTTATTTAATTACTTAGTTTTTCAATTTCAATTTATGATTTTTCGGGCAAAGAACCTAGAATTGTATTTTGATTCAAGTACTTAAGCTTCCACAATGTTTTGTTAACTCCAATGGATTTTTAAATGATATTTTGAGTTAAATCTTTTAAATTGTATTGAAAATTATTGTGTTTGAATGCTAATCTGATGAAAACCCAATCCAGTAGTGTAACACCCCAACCCGCATAACCCGAATAAATGGGTTAGCGACTGGGTTGCTACTAAATTGGTAGTCATACGCATTAATTTTCCAAAACAATTTAAAACATTTAAATTCAAATAGTATTTAATTATCCATCAGAGTAAATCCAAACGGTTGTGGAAGCTAAATTCATAATCCAAAACACAACTTGGGAATCATGCCCGAAACAGTAATAAGTTAATTCAAGAAATAAATAAGAGTTCAAAATCGTCGAACACTGCCACGCACATCTCAGCCTCCTCATCGCTCTCCGGGATTGGCTCCAAGCTCATCATTTCCTGGATTACCTACGTGTAGCAAACAGGAAAAAGGCTACACGCTCAGCATTGAAGCTAAGTGAGATATATCTAACATACAGCTATACCCATAGGCGATCCCACTAACCCATATCACCATACGATATCATGCACACAACATGCTCAACATATTCACATATCATACAGAATATAACAGTTGTAATAAACATCAACGTTAAAGAATAACAGGTCACAAGGATACAATGATAACTTCTCAATTTTCCTCTGCCCTATGCTCTTTTCGGTACTCGGCTCTTAACCTAGACTAGGTAAAAGCTCAACTGATTACAACTTGCCTATGGAGTCATGACCTTCCCCTTACAACTTGCCTCGGGAGTTCCTCGTTGGGTGGGTGAGATCCCTGTCCCCTTCGGAACGACAGTTCTTAGATCCCCGTGTACCGTCAGAAAAGAACGAAGCCGGGGAAGCTGGCAGTAGCCAGATACCGTGTCAACGGTACCTCCCTACCCTCTGTCGCGGCGAACACCAAACCTGCACCAGTTCCGTTTTCGTCCCTTTTTGCAGCAACCACGCCATGGAAAACAAGCATAACAGTTCATAATGTTGGAACACGGGTTTACGCCTTCGTCGCACTAAACTGTGTTCGTTTATGACAGGTTTTGATAATGCCAAACCGCCGCGACATATCGAAGCTAAAGTGAGCAAAACTAAGGCGAAGGAACATGGCATGATGACTTAAGAACCAAGAACCCAGAATCAAGAACGAAGAACTAGAATTGTATTGAGTCGGTCTTAATGTGATCAAGACCGGCACAAAATTCCAAATCTTGGCTCTCTAGGCTTAATTCATAAAAATCTCTTTTACATATTCAAAAATACTTTTCTTAAAGTTTAAACTTGGGTCAAAACACTTGGAGTTCGCCCAAGCCAAAAACCAAGCCATTCGGCGTTCGGCTTTCAGAAACCGGCGTTCGGCTCTCGGTTTTC